CTCTTGGAACCTTATCGTAAGCTTTTTCTAAATCAATAAAAATCAAATGTAGATTCTCCTTATTATCTCTGAACTTCTCCATCAAACCTCTCAATAAATGTATAGCTTCCATTGTAGACTTGCCCGGCATAAATCCAAATTGATTATGAGAAATTTTTGTGATGCGTCTTAACCTATGTTCAATTACCCTCTCCCATAATTTTAAAGTATGACACATCAACTTAATTTCTTTATAATTTGCACACTCTTGTGCATCCCCTTTATTCTTAAAAATGGGGACCAAAATACTCTTCCTCCACTCCTCAGACATCTTTTTAGTTAAAAAAAAACGATGGCGATAATTTAATAACAAGAAAAAGTTATATTTATGTTCAGGTTGTAGGAATGTAGTGTAAATGTCTTTTTTTTTTCTTTTGTTCTTTTTTCTTTCCTATTCTTTAGCTATATTAGTCTCATAAATATAAAAACCAGTAAGGCTATATTTTATTTAGGTTTGTAGCATTATGGAGAAAACAACTATTTGTGAATGTATGAAAAGAGTTGATACTGTTTTCTACATTTGAGACATTGATTAATTTAAGAGGGGTTGACATATTCTTCAAACTTTCTCTATTAAGGGGGTTGACTCGTCATCTTCTAATATGCCTCATGATTTTTTTTTTTCACTGCTTTGCCATCATCCACTGCTTTGCCATCATCCTCGGCTCATCCTCGGCTTGTTATGATTATTCGTTCATTCCTCTTCTTTTATGACTTCTTTTTTGTTTTATGATTACCTCCCTTCACATTCTCCTGCTTGGAAAAAAGGAAAATTAGAGATGGAGACCAGTACAATACGCTATAAAATAGAGTGGGCTTTATTGCTGCCATCCTTGGACAGTGTCCCACTATTGTCCTTGGAGGAAGCTTTTTCCGCTGGTATCTTCAAGCGAAAACCTTGCAACATCTCTTGGAAGAGATGAGAAATGGGAATTTGATAGAAATGAGAAAATTTTCTGCATGAGTTAAGACAAATGATTTTATTCCACTAGAACATCTCTTGGAAGAGATGAGAAATGGGAATTTGATAGAAATGAGAAAATTTTCCGCATAAGTTAAGACAAATGATTCTATTCCACCAATACCAATACAAAAGAGTATGACCCCAAATATATAATAGATAGTCCTAAAATTCGAGGGTAGGCGAGTCTCTCCCAAGCCCTAACTCCTAAAACTCTAGATAAAAATCACATACCCTAGCCCTAATCATATTAGACCCTATTTATATTAAATAATAATAACTAACAAATGACTAAATTGCCCTTTCAGTTTTGCGCCTAAACTAATTTTTCAAATTATTTAGCGGGCCCAGCAAGCGGGAAAATTCCATAAGTGTCGGCTTAATATTACTCCATTCCCAATAGGATATCTTATCCTCAAGGTGACAGAGAACGTTTGCTAGACCAAGTCATATGGCTCCTACGTGGTGTCGTAATCTCACAATTTTTTTTCATTTAATCAACATTTTTTTCTACCTCTTGCTCTTGGCACATCCCTTTTAACCCTAGTGGTTGTAAAAGAGCCTCCATATCCTTAGCTAAGGTAGGGAGAAGTGAAGAAGAGGGCACTTTATCACCAATAGAGGGTCTCAGTTGTGATACATGGAACATTAGATGAATTGTCGATGAAAGCAATAATTTTAAATGATAAGCCGCCTCACTAATGCACTCCGTGATATCATAGGACCAAACTAGCGTGGAGGAGAGTTTCTCATTCCTACTTTTGCTAATGTCTTTTGTCGATAGTCAAAGTTTTAGATACACCTTAGCTCCAACCGCAAATTGCACACCTTTCGATGCCCATCAACTTGTTTTTTTAAAATTGAGCTTTCGATAAATATCCCTTCAGTTCCACCAACACATTGACCATCTTTTAAGTATTGATCCATAAGAGACACCAGCTTAATACTATGTCCATAATGCACCAAATCTGATGGATTGCGACCATACATAATTTTCAAAGTAGTTTGAGAAGTTGTATGATACAAAGGGTCGTATCAATATTTTGCCCATGGTAGCCATTTAACCCATTGCTTGGGTGTATCAGATACAAAGCAACACAAATAGGTCTCCACATTTTGATGAACAACCATCCATCGATATGTGAGTGGACGAAGTAGTGTTGTTCAATATGGTCCATTGCATTCTAAACAACTGCCTCCATAAATGACTCAAAAAAGACCTTTATCTCGATTCAACATTGTTAATTGTAGAATCTCGTGCAAATAGATAACCTCTCGTATAAAAACAACGACCTCATAAACAACATTGTAGGGATGACATAGAGGGACAAATTAAGCATACTTGCTCAACTGGCCCACCACCACCAGGATGACTGTAAATCTTTCTAACTGAGGTAATCCTTCAATGAAATTCATCGTCGCCTCCTCTGATAATTCTTCAGTAATGCCAAAGGTTGTAGCAACTCACATAATCTAGTTCCATGTACTTGTGCTCTAGCACACATCACACCTTGAGACCATGCCCTCCGCATCTTTTCTCATTCCCAACTAATACAATTCTGCCACTGTCCTCCGATATGTCTTGAGAATGCCTTAGTGCCCTCTGATAGCGCTGTTGTGAAACCCCTTGAGATCACGCCCTCTATAATAATTTCGTTATGTGTCGGGGTATTACATACCGTCCACTGTAAAGTAAATGTTGGTCATTGAGGGATCTGTCGGGATAGTTGTTCTTGCCACTCACTGAAGCATATCACTTCTTGCTCAATTCCTCATTCGCATCACTTTCTTGCCTCGGGACCTCTCAATCTAAAACCAAAGGAACTGATAATGCCAACAATTGAGGTTCCTTCATCTGTTGTGATAAGGCTTCAACGACCTTATTTTCCTCGGGCTATATTGCATATTAAAGTCATATTCCAATAACTTAGATAGTCACCTCTAATGTTTCTCAGTAACCATATATTATTCAAACAGAAATTTAAGGCTATATTGATCTGTGTTTACTGTGAAAAGTCGCCTCAATAAATAAGGCCGCCATTTTTGAATGACAATCACAATTTCCATAATATCCTACTTATAATCTGACTTGAGTCTAATTCTCGCCGTCAGCACTCAATTAAAATAACGATGGATCTTTGACACCGCACAAGGACTGTGCCTAACCCGTAGTCTGAAGCATCCATATGTACAATGAATGGTTGGTTGAAATCAGGTAATGCAATGATTTGTACACTCTTCATAGCCTTCTTTAACTTTCAAAGTCCTAGGTCGACACTTCACCCCCGCTAAAAGTTATTCTTCTTCAATTGGTCCGTCAATAGCCATGCAATCGAATTGTAACCCTTCACGAGTTTTTGGTAAATCTTGTAATGCCCAGAAATACTTTCAACCCCTTCAATGTATTAGATATTGGTCGATCCAACGTAATCTTCACCTTCAATGGATTTGTTGACACCCTTGCAGCCAACACCACATGTCCTAAGTACTCCATCTTCGGTTAGGCAAACAAATTCTTCTTTAAGTTAGCATAAAGTTAGGGCGTAAATACCTTTTTCAAACGATCAATGTGGTCTTCCAAGGAACCGTTTCACATTATGATATCATCAGAGAACACCAACACAAACTTCCAGAGGAAATGTTGAAACACCTTGTTCATTGGCGAAATGTAGTCGGTGCGTTGGTAAGCCCGAATGATAACCATATATTCCTAGTGACTTGCATGAGCTTGAAATTCGAAATTGGCACATTTATTGGCCTTCTCCAAATTTATTGGTATCCTGACTTCAAGTTAATCTTAGAGAATATTGCAACCCCAAACAACATCTAAAAGCTTATCAACCACGGGGATGGGAAATCTTTTAGGTTATATTTCCTTATTTACTTCCTGATAATCCACACAGAAATGCTAACTCCCATCATTCTTTTTCACGAGTAAGACTTAGTTAGGGAAGAGGTTCACACTAGGTTATATGACCCCAACCTCCTATGTCTCTCGGATCAATTCTCTTGATCTCATCCTTCTGTACCTGGGGGTAGCAGTACAGGCTCACACTAATGCAAGAAACCCTGATTTGAAGCTTATTACATGCTTGTGTTTCGTCTGAGCCAACAATCTGTATGACAACTAGAAAACTTGCAAATTGTTGCAAGAGTTGTTGGTTCTGTGCCAGAATCTCTGCTAACTCCATATCATGTCTTTTCCATGCTATGCAACTCGATCAAGAATCTTAATACTGCACCATGAATTTCTTTAATTATGATCTTGAGTGTCATTAAGGTCTTTCACAAAGTGTAGTCATTGTGAAACACCATCGTCTTGTCTTTCATGAGTTTCAAATTTATCTTAGTCTCTCTTATGACCGCAACAATTTCATACTCAATATTACATAAGGACTCCCTAAATCAAAGGGAAGAAAATCATCCATCACATGAATATCTTGCAGTATTAAAATCACCCCTTTATAAACTCTCATGCTCTTTTCCACCTATTTTGTTTCCATCATTACTCCAAATTTCTCGTGTAAACCATCTCAAGCTCCAATTGATTTACTTGAATAGAGATGAAGTTGTGAGTGACCCCACTATTTACCTACCCCACTATGTGTTGTTTTCTGATCTGTAATCGAAGTTTCATTTTTAGTTCGGTGTAAACCCCACCACCAATTTCAATGAGATTTCTGTCACATCAAGTGAGGGTATTCCCTCTCCTCCACCGCAACCTCCTTTGTTTTCATTCTTTGCCTTCATGTCACACACAATGAGAATCGGTAAGTTGCAACCCTTGCAATGGTGAACTCGTCTTAGATGGTTTGGTCACATTAAACGTCGACCATCTGATGATCCAAAGAAGGCCTGGAAGTGAGGCTTACACTTCAAGGATGAGGATAATTCATCAGTGGGACTTGCGAGTTTTAATGTATAGAAGGCCTATTAATAGGACTTCCAACCTCAAGGGTGGGGCCTAAAATCTCATCCCATACACGAGACAACCCAATGTTTGTTTATATTGGATGGGAAGGATTAAAACTTTGTTGGGCTAGAAGGTTGAATTCGGGTAGGATTCAACCTATTTGTTTTAATAACGAAAAAAAAATTAGAAAAGAATTAAAGTTCAGAATCTTAATAGTTCAAGTTCAATAGACACCACTCTTCCTTCCCGCCTTCCTTTTATTTTTGTAACTCTTGCTTTTAGCGGGCAGATAACAATTGGCCTAGTGCAATCTGATTTGGGATGGCCTGCTTTAACATTCATTCTTCAAGGTCTTGTAATTATTGCCTTTTTGGCAATTTTAATATCATCAGAGTCGTTATGAAAGGTCATTTTGATTACATTTAACACCATTTGAAGTTTATTTATCCCCATAAATACATTTTAAAGTGATTATTTATAGTTGATTGAATGCTTCTGAGTGTTCTGAAATCTGAAATTTGCCTTAACCTTCATCTTTGGTCTGTAGAATATTTTTGATACCTCATTAATATGACCATTTTTTATTTATTTGTGGAGAAAAGATTTAATTTATCTCTGGGGCACACACAATGATCCAGAAAATGCCATTCCTCTTTTGGGTACTTTTTTCTTCATATAGTTAATTCCTATGATATAATTACCAAGCTTTTGTTTGCATATTATTAAAGAATTGATCATTCTATTTATTAAAGGTACCAATTTCTCACTGCTACGGGGAGCATTTTATAGGCTATTCCTATTTTTGAAGAGCGATCTGGTTAAGACTTTTGTGGGCTGACATTAGATTAATGTTATTCATTATTATACCACTAGGATAAATGCAGAACTGTAACCTCTCTTTAACCCACGTAGGACATTGGCAATACTTTCAGTGGTTTAGGCATAACTATGTTTTTTAGAGGCATCTTGTATGAATATCTGCCAAATATAAATTTAGGAGAATTATATCTAGTATAATATTGAGAGAAGTATATACAATTCCTTAGAATATCTATTAAAACTAGAAAAGTTAATTCTGTTTCTTGACCGTAAAAACGAACTTTTCTACTGCATGGGGCTTCAACTAATATAGGTTCCAAGGAGAGTTGATGTATGTGGCGTTATCACATCAATTGCAATAAGTTATTTGCCGTTGATTCTATGATCTCTAACTTACAAATAAAGTGGCTTAACTTTTGCTCCAGACTCGCCCTCCATAAAAATATGAGTGTTTTTGCTCTGCATCACGAGTTATTAATGGTCTACATCATGTCAGGATAAGGTTGTGTTTTGGTATCTTTGCCTTTGAAGCAATAGTCAGTGTAAAATTCCTGTATTGCAAAAAATATTTTATGTTTATTTGCACTGATTAATGACTTTTTTTTTTGCTTCTTTGTACTTTGAACACGTTTGTTTATTTGTTTTTACCGGTTATGACAATATGCATACTGTAATTGAAATCGAGGCAAGTCTTTTTCATCTTTGACAAGCAGGGGACCTCCTGGAGATCTTTATATATGCCTTGATGTTGAGGAGATACCAGGTATACAGCGAGATGGTGTCAACTTATGTTCAGCTGTTTCTATAGATTACATTGATGCTATTTTGGGGGCTGTTGTTAAGGTGAAATCTTAACCTTGCTCTGCCTTTATATTTTCAAATTAATAGTATTATTTTACGTGGTGATTGAAATGAATTTGGAAGATTTGTTCTGATGTGTTCCCTTTAGCTAGTTTTTCTAATCTTATGCTCTTCATCATTTTGTAAATATGTGCTGTCAACATACATTAAAGATGGTTAAAGAAAATGCTCGTTTGTGCTAGTTATTATTAGGGATTGTTTATTTCACTGCTAAGTGTTTGGATCTCAGCATGAAAGTGAATTGCATTGAAATGAGATGTAATATCTGTTATTTTACCAGAATTTATTTTTATAAAATCCATTCTTTTTTTTTTTGGAGCTGCAATGATTTTTAATTTCACCCATCTTTACGTTAATTTTGATTGATTTATTATTATTACAAGTAAATTTAATATTTTCACCAATTATCCTTTAATTTAATATTATTTTAATGTTATTTAAAGTTTAAAAAAATGTAAAACTGAAGGGTGACTTCTTAGCCGTTAAAATTGAAACTCATCTTTTGTATGACAAGTTTCAAGAATGAGACTTCAATTCTATCATTATTTCATTCTAACAAATTCTTGAATTCAGTTTAGGAAGTGAGATCCAATACAATTTTTAGACATTTATTGCAAAACACTCTTATCTCTAAATGATACATTTAGTTCTTGTACAACATAGACTTCTCTTAACTAGCTGCAAGTATTTACATGATTATGGCTGTAAAAAAAAATCATCATTCGCGAAGAACTCATGTTTAGCTCGTTAAGTGGCTCATGTTTGATTTGCTTGTTAAGTAAGTGAGTTGAACACAAACACTTATTTTGATCTCTATTTATAAACGAGCTGAACACGAATAGGTCTTGTCTGTTTGTGAATGAGCTATTTTGTCTTTAATTAATTAATTGTTTTTATTATAATATTTTTATATCGATGTTGTTTGTTTTTTTAAATACTACAACAACAACAACAACAACGGATCTTTATCCCACTAAGTGGGGTCTGCTACATGAATTTTTTTATCTATTGTGTCTAATTGAGTGTCATATATTCATTTAATTCTAATAAATTAAGATTGATTTTTATACAACATGCCCAAGTCCCTTAACATAAATCGAATTTAAACCATCTACTCTCCTAAAAGGATCATTAGATGGACAAAATTTAATGTGACCAAACCCTCTAAGACGACTCTTTCTAATATCTTTTTTCACTACAACTACACCTACCCTTTCATGGATGTATTTATTTCACATTCTCTAAGTGTAAAGCCTCTCATCAACCTAAGCATTCTCATCTCAGCAACACTTAACTTAGTTTTATGCTTCTCTTTTATAGGCCAACATTCTGTGCCATAAGGAATTTGCAGGTCTCACCACCATCTTATTAAATTTTACTTTTTATGTCTAAGTTGTACTTTTCTATCACAAAATAGGTTCTATGCATTCCTCCACTTCAACCGTCCAACTTGAATTCTGCTAACAAGTCCCTCTATGTCACCATCACTTTAAACAATAGACCGGAGATTTCTAAAACATCCACTCATTTTAATGACTTGATCATATATTGTGACAGCACCGCTACTAGATCCACAACTACTAAAATTATATTCCATGTATTCAGCTTTAGATCTACTCAAACGAAAGCCTTTAGACTCTAAAGCTGACATCCATAATTCAAACCATTTTTCTAGTATTATCCACAAGAATGATATCATTAGCAAAAAGCACATACCTAGTACTTCCTCCTGTAAATGTCCAGCAAAAACATCCATAACTAAAACAAAAAGATACATGCTTAAAATCGACCCCTTATGTAATCCAACTAAAATAAGATATTCAAACTCAAGTAACACCTCTAGTAAACATATTTTCAATGACTTGAATATATGTCATATCAACTTCTTTTTTTCGAGAACTTTCTAAAAAATTTCTCTTGGAACTTTATTATAAGATTTTCTAGCTCAACAAAAATCATATGTAGATCATCCTTACTCTCTCTATACTTCTCCATCATGCCTCTCAATAAATGTATAACTTCATTAGTAGACTTGTCTGAGATAAATTCAAACTGTTTTTGAGAATCTTTGTATCACATCTTAACCTATGTTCAATTACTCTCTCTCATTATTGTAATGTATGACACGTCAACTTAATTCATCTATAATTTGCACATCTTGTGCATCCCTTTTATTCTTAATTACTTTTCCTCCGCTCTCTTGGAATATTTTTAGTTCTTAAAAAAACATTGAAAGTTTAGTAAATTAAAAAATTCTCAAATCTTATAAATATTTTCGCACCGCTATTAGATTATCATTAGGTCCTACTAATTTTCTTTCATTTATATTTTTTAAAGGCTCAACCTTTATTTTACTAATGCGACGTAAAATAAATGGTTTTGTTATTATTAATGATATTAAGATTTTTAAAGTCGATCATGTATTCAAAAAGTTTATTAAAAAGTTTATCAAAATATCTCACCCACCTACCTATATTTGAATATTTTTGCCTAAGAATAATACTTTTTGATTTTTATCTTTAATGCACTTGGACTAAATTTTTTACTCATCTCTTTGTTTGGCTAATTTATATATATGTGTCTGTGTGTATATTTCTCTTTCTTCAATTTCTACTCTAATCTTTTATGAAAAAAAATTACTAAAAGTTGAATTCTTGGCATCACTGTTTGTTCTCTTAAACTCTCTAAGAGTCACCTTGTATTTTTCTCAGTTATCTGAGCTTTTATATGTAAATTAATTTTTATAACAAAACTTCTTATATTTTATCTATTCTTGCACATTTTTATTTCACCAAAATTTATTTTATTTATAGCAGATTTTTCTTTTGATTCTCCAATCACAACTTTTGCAATTTACTTAATATTACTTGTTATTTTATCACACATATCTTTAGCTTCTTCATGGATATCTCAAATTTTAAGATCTTGAAGTTTACTTTTAAAAATAATTTTATTTATATTTTTTAAGTGATCTCATCTAATTCTATGACAATATTTTATTTTTCAATCCTTAATCTTAATAAAATCAGCAATCGATGTTGAGTACTTAATTTTTGCTTGGAGTGACCTTCTAATTTTTATAATCTCAATCTTTTTTTTTTCTCGTAAGAAGAATGTGTTTTATTAAATTCGTTCTTATAAATGATAATATGCTCATCTATTTTTCTTATTAAAATTTTAGTAATACTAAAATCATAAGCTAAAACAAAATTCAATATTGTTCTACCTTCTTCATTAGTCACTTCAAAACCGTAGCTACTATGAATATTTCTAAAATTTTTTACCACTCTACTAACGCATTCATCTAAATTTTCTCTAATAAAAGAGGTATTATTTGTATTAATTCTTCTAGGGACATTACATTTTTTTAGTATATATCTAAACCTATAAGGATCAACAACAATTTTTATGATTATAATTCGATCTCAAATTTTATTAATTTTAACAACATTATCTTTTAAACTTTTACATATAATTACACATACACCATTTCTAGTACGACTCCTACCTGAATGCCAAATTTTAAAACCTAAGCTATCAATCTCTTTAGTCTTTTCTTGAACTCATTTAATATTTTTAATGCATAAATATTTATCTTCATATGAACCATCATATCTACTAATTCCATCAATTTACTTGTTAGAGATATAGATTCTAGTTTTCTATCCTATTATTAGTTTCATGGACTAACTTCTTTGTTGTATTTGTCCATAATGTGAAAAACTTTGCTTATTTAACACTATACCCGAGCGCTGGGATAGCGACCCTTGCATACTTTTCACTGTCTTCATGTTATACAATGCGTCACTTATTGGGGACGCCTTAACATTTACACAAATTTAAAGAATTTATGTCATGGTTTTCGACAAAAAATTTACTCCAGTTGTCTGCTACCTAACATAACCTCCATTTTTCACATTTGGGGCTTAGAACTTAGCAATGACAGGGTCAAAATTATTTAGATTTTGATCCGTTCAAGCTAAATTTGAGTAGAATATGAGCCACAAACAAACAAACGAATTTGAATTGAGCCGAACACGAGCCATTTCGAAGATGAGTAAATTTTGAAAATGAGCCAATTTAGAAAAAAATATTTCAAACAAGCGTAGCAAGGACAAGCATTGGGCTCATTTAAGCTCTGCTCATTTGCACCTCTGGGCATGGCTATTCTTAAATTTTTGTGCTTCTGGATTAGAGATTAATTGCAGACAACCACCTTGAAAGGTTTTGCTATATTATTGCTTCAAAATACTATGCGCTTATTAACTATAAACTTCTTCGACACTTCTTGATATGTTTTGAGTTTGCTTTAGGTTTTTATTTTTTAAATTTTTTTTAGTGTTTTATTCATACTTTTTCCCACTTCATTTACATTAGTCAGCAATTTAAACCACTAAATTCATATATTTAGACTAGTTTACAGATTATCTTTTCCTTTGTTTTATTATTATTTGTTTTTTCAAGTTTAAAATCCCAATATTTAACAATTGGCATTATTCAGTAGTCGTGAACTTGAACTCTTTTTGTTGCAAATGCTTATATTCAACAGGTGAGGACAGTTGATGGACCTACTGAACTCCAAATACCTTCTGGCACCCAGCCTGGTGATGTTATAGTACTAGCAAAACGAGGTGTTCCCAAGTTAAACAAGCCATCCACACGTGGTGACCACTTATTCACTGTAAAGGTTACAATTCCTAGTCGCATCAGGTGCTTTGCTTTCTGTCACATAACGATGGTACTTCTAGTTAGCAATAGCACTATTGCATATGTTATGCTTTCTCTTTTAGGTGGTCTATTTTGGATGCATCTTCTTTTATTTTTAAGCTATTTTTTTAGGCTAATTTACTGATCTCTACATGCATCTTGATCTGTAAAACTAATTTAGCTTCATGAAAATTCCACTTGTGTCTGTCTAAACTCGTTAGAATAACATGTGCTGGTTCTTTCCTTATAATTCGACAAAATTAATTTGTTTTTGAACTCAATCGCTTTGGCTTTATGACTTCATTCTGCAATTTCATAGTTTTCTTTGCCTAAAACCTTCATGATAAATCTGGAAATTTTTCATATTAAAAAGAACTTGCCATTTAGGTAATAACCATGCAAAGTTCTCCCAAAGTTGCATTCTGGAGTTCAATTACTTCTTGACTTTTTATTCTTTTTTTTTTCGAATTTTTATATTGGCACCTAGCATTTTCAAACATGTCCATCTTGACAGGCACGAACTTCCAAAAATTTTCAAATAATTAGTTTTAACTCTTTAAATTGGAAAAAAATGTTGACAGATGCATCTTATTTCTTGGTGAACATAAAAGCTGTGATAAACTTTAGCTTGCTAGTTCATGCATGTTAGTTGGGCTTGAATGAAGATTGGGGATAAAAATCACGCTCTTGGCATGCTTATTTGAGTTTTTAATTATTGTTAATTTTAATGCGTCTTCTTTAATATTAAATTACATCAAACTTTGACCAAAGTTAAGCTACACTTTTGTAACAGCATCCTTGAGACGCACTGTAATTCATCATATGATTCTACAACCCTACCATTAACTGCGTAAAGTTATGAAGGGAATTGGGTCCACAGGATAGTCATTTTGCAGTAATGGATTTTTTTTTTTTTCCTGTTAGAAGTGAAGTCAGTGTGGATTTCGTAAGTTTTTAGCTGTCATATTTTCCTGCCAACTAAAATTGTATTCTCTTGTCAATAATTGATTTGAGTATTGTATATTTACCAAAGAACTGCAATTTGGCCGTTCTTACCATGTTTTATTTACTTATGATTATTTAGTATTTTGAGTCCTATAATTATCTTCTTCCTTTACTCTGTGTTCTATTGCAGTGGAAGAGAGCGTGAGTTGCTAGAAGAATTAGCATCATTGCGTGATAATTCTGTAGGCCGTCCAAAAGGCAGATCCCTAAGTAAGCAGTCCTTTTTATGCCAACTTAAATATGATTAATAGAGGGCATGTGTGGTGTGAGATTGGCAAGATTTTGAAATAGCATAAGACTATTTTTGGGGGCATATATATATATATATATATATATAGCCCCCAAAAATAGTCTTACCAACTTATTAGTTTGCTCCTTCTCTAAAACTAGAGGCAGAGGCTAGACCAAGTTGGGTCGCTCTCTAGCCACCTGATACTATGTATTTCGGCACTGTTAGGCTTTTTATTTTAGTATCTAATGTATTTTCTGTTTTTTTTTTTGGGGGATTTCCTGGGTTCCTCTATTGAACCAAATAGTGAAGCCCCTAGCCCCTTCTCTGATGTTTGTACTAGTCCTTTTTACTTCAACATGTAGGGAGTCATAAGGTTTTTTTGGGCTTTCAAAAAAATATATACATATATATATATATATATATATACCATCAAAAAAATTTTTATTTGCAAAACTAACACTGAAGCATTGAAAATGAATCAACAAAGTTGTGTATTTTCTCATGGTACGACAAAATCATTAAGAACTCATAATTGTTCAGGATTAAACAAAGTTTAGCATCGTAATGATTAGGTCTTGGGTTTTTCTTTCTCACTTGTGTTTCATTCAGATTTGACCCCCGTGTCATTTATTGTTGCTTAAGCTGCTTCTAAGCCAATAATGGGTATCTAAATGATCACTGAATTCGATATGAGGTTCTTTTATCTTTACTAATGTTTGAGATACACCAGCTAGACACGACCAGCAACTGGATGAGGTCGTGAGTTGCATTCCTTACTTTCTATGCCACTGCCATATGTTGCTGTGTGCCGTCACCAGCAGCTTTTTGCTAACCACCACTTCATCCAGTTGCTGGTCGTGTCTAGCTGGTGTAGCAAATTGCACCTTTTATCCAAGAAATAGGTTTATATGTTGAACAAGGAATTTGAAATAATTTTTTCTTTTAAGTTGAACAGTTTTGTGTATGCACACCCTAAGGATTCTAGATTCTTTTTAACATTTGCCTCATTCTCACTCGGCTGGATTCGTTGTCTGCCTATCTGAGGAGTTTTTAGTTGGCTGTTGGTTTGGCAGTCGTATCGATACTTAATGGTGAAGATATGTGGTTATGCACACGTGTTTAATGGATTGCTTAATTTATTAAAAGCTATTTGGTCTATCATTTAACTTGTGCAATTGATTTAGTTTACCATTTTATTATGTAATTTCAAGCTATAATGTTGACGCTTCATGCACACTTCTAGACTATAAAATATTTGACAGCTTTTTGGATTTAAAAGTTTCTTCTTGAGCATAAGCTGTCTTCTACAATCTTGCAGGTAGAAGAACTGAGATTAAAGAGATCAAGAATTCACAACCATCCAATGAACAGGTTGACGTTTGGAAGAAGCTTAAAGATTTTGCTGGGTAAGTTCACAATTATATAACCTCTCCGGCTGACATATCTTCATGAACTATAAATTTGTTGAAGTATATCCAATCTGTATTATTATTTGAAGATGTCCTGTTTCAGATTAAGCAAATATATATGATGCACCTCTGCTATAGTTTTTGGGAGATATCCTAGGATTTCCTTAATTTTTAAAACCTGGTCGCACTTGCAGTATCACACAATATTATAACACGACTTCATGGGAGACTTTTCCTTGCTTGGGATTCGGCATACTACTCAGGCATACTGCTCCTCAAATCATTTCTTGCATGCATGTTCATCAAGTATTTAGGTAAATTTGTCCCGACCTGGCATGAAGGCTTGGATTATGAATGTGAGAATAAACAGTCGATTTGAATTTTTTTTTACATAACATTCACATATATTTTTTCAAACATAAAATCTTTTAATTCCAAAAGAGTGAACTAAATAATAAAGTTTTATTCATAAAATTGTTTATAAAGCATTCCATTTTTTTTTTCAAATTATACAATTTAAAATATAGAGTGTTGCATTAGTTTAACATAATATCTATCTTTGGTTCATCTGTTTTAGCTGTAAACCTACTCTCTTTTTTCATCTATTTAAGCTGCGAGAGTTTATCCAGAAAAATGATCATCAACTATTATGTAAGTTAAAAATCTCAATGGCTAATTATATTTCAAAATAATAGAAATTTTAAAAATTATAAGATAATATGTAAGCGATGTTTTGTACTTAATTCATAAAATCTTTCTTATTTATGAACACTAAATAAAGTGCATTTGTAAGTTTAATTATAGAATAAAGAGAGTAACATTTATTAACTCTCTTTGTTATCTTAATGCTTTAACTTATTGTATGATACTCTTGTTATAGGAGCACCATTCGAGTTTTACCTTTAAGGCAAGTCCCAAATCAAACCCGTAAGGGGGTGTATTAAGAGGCTACGAGCTTATTGAAGGAAAGCTTTACCTGTAATCTTTATACAATGCTCCTATTATGAATTTGTCTTAAAGGTATAAATTTAAACAGTGCTTCTACGATAGGTTTACTATACAATAAGTTAAAATACTAAAATGATAAATAGAGCTAATAAATATTAGTTTTTTACTTTTGTCCTTAGAAGGTTGCAAATGTTTTTATTCAGTGTTCATGAATAAAATATGTTTTATTATTTAAGTATGCATATTGTCTTATAGTTTTTTAATTATTATAATTTAAAGATGTAATTAAATAATAAGTTGTTTAACTTACACAATAGTTGATAATCATTTTTCAGAAAAATCTCTCCTAAATGGGTACAACATAGGTGTTTGTTTATAGCAAAATATTTTTGGCTTAGATAGTTATTGTAGTAAATCTATCTCTCAGTTTGTATTTTTAAAATGTGTATTTTGGGAAAATATATACTTAATGAAAAACTCATGTATAAATATTTTTGGTTTAGTTTACATTTTTAAATTGGAAGATTTTATGTTTGAAAAAATAAAAATAATAGATGAATGTCAAGAGAAGTAAATTTTAGTTTGGCCATTTATTCCTCTCTTGATAATCCAAGCTTTTGGGCCAGATCGTGATAATCTAAACGGAATATCTTATGAAATTTACTATTTTTTTTTTCTTGAGGTATTTTAGATATTGTTAATCTCTCATCATCACCTCATCTATCATTTAGTGTGATACCGAAGTTAACCCAAACAACAATAAGAAAATAATTGTTATTACTGAAAAGCAAATGGAAGGTTATAATTAACGCACTAAAAAAGAAAGATAATAACTGACACGACACACAAACTAAATTAGGTTTGTATCACAAAGGAGTGATGGGCGGTTTTTTGGGTCGGAAGGGCATTTGATGTCTACAGGGGTCGTAGTGCTGTGGATAGGAAGGGGAGGCAACAAGGTATATGGGTAGTTGTAGAAGATTGGACGGGCCAATGCAGTATGTGAAAGTGAGGGTGGGTGCAGCTCACTATAGGAGGATAATACGAGGGTTGTGGTTGGTTTGTTGGAGAAGTGAGATGTTGCAGCTAGACTGTGGGGGGAAGTTAAGTCGGCGCGGTTCGATTGCGGGTGGAGGTAGGATGGTGCGGTTGGATTGCAGGTGACAGTATGAGAGTTATGTTTGGAGGGTGGCAACAAAATGAAGTTTTGTTTCTTGGAAGGATGCAACAAGGAGGAATAGAGGAAGGTGAATGGGTCGGCTAGAACTACAGCTGAACAACAAATAATCATTGCTCGGGGCGGCTTCAATAAGGAAGAAGGATGACAGCTGCGAAGTAAAGGATGCAAGAAAGAGAAATTTGAGGATAATCACCACCTCAAAATAAGATATGGTCGGAGCACCACTCGCTCTTAGATGCAGCCTTATAAGGAAAAATTGGAGACGCTGACAACTGTCCTGACAGAAAACATATGAAGAACTAAACTTAAAATATAAGAAAAACAAATATATAAGTAATAAGATATGGTTGGAGCACCACTCGCTCTTAGATGCAGCCTTATAAGGAAAAATTGAAGACGCTGACAACTGTCCTGACAGAAAACATATGAAGAACTAAACTTAAAATATAAGAAAAACAAATATATAAGTAATAGGATAACTAAGAGTCTCTCAAGAGGACCGACCGACTCTACAGTAATGAGAAAAGTTGGACCAATGCGATCCAGGCATGAAAGAGAGACGCCGCTTTCTGTTGTGGGAACTCCCGCGCGGGATAACCCTGCGTTACTCTTCTGGGGTTGGGGGAGCTTCTATCACATCTGTCGAAGCTTCTGTCATATCGTGGTATGGAGTCAGACCTATCACGCTGAAGGTGGCAGGATTGTTGTGATCTACCAAAGTTAAGGTCTTCACCTACGCATCTAAAAGCACCTGGATACCATTGTCAGATGTTCTGTCCCTCAAAACACCTAAGATGGTTTCCAGAGCGCTAGTGATCATCTCTATTGTCCAACCAACTGTGGGTACCCTACTAAAATGAATTGAAACTTCAGGCCAAGTGTACTTTGCAGAGTCCTCCCAACGTAGCCCAAGATTGGCTCAACTCTAATTGACGTAAGGACAAACTGGACCTCTCATAACGGTGGTGTTCGTGGCGGTAAGTAGTCGGTCAGGGTGTCCTGAAACCTTTTGTATTGGTTGTCATGTGTCTGATATGGGTCTTTAGGTGTCCCTATCCTCTATCAGCCGACTGTGGGAAAGAAGTTGGTGCGGGCGAAATTCGGGATTTTTCCCTTTTTATTCAGTGGGGTGTATGCACCGTGGGGTGCAATCTATGCTCGCAGATGTTAAAGTTGTTCCTGTGCATATGCCTCTTGAGTTTTACGCCCCCACCCCCTCGTGGCCTTGGTGCAACTAGGCTCACTCCTCAGCTCGGGGCGCGCCCCATGAATGCCCTTTAAAATACAGGGACGATAGAGGCGGACGATTCGATCAAACTAAATTCTCACCAGCACTCATCCTGACTTTCATAGTTATGACCAAATGAGTGATGAACTAATCTAACTAAATCGCCGCAAAATTTACATGATACATTTCATTTCATAAATTATTCATATTCATATATACTCGGAAGCGTGAAAATTATATTATTTGAAGATGTAAATCTATACAGAGTTGTTAAATTTAACATAATAAAATATATACCCAAAAAATGCATGCTCCCAAACTATGAAATGCAAAAGTTGTACAAATCACATCTAGCTATTCGTGTCGGTGTTCTTGACCACTTCTTGAAAGTCAATAAAGTGGAGTGAGCAACAGTGAGCTCAACGAAGTAATCATGGTAAAATAAAATTTTTATGCATGAAAGAGATGTTGTAGATATTCATTCGCAAGTCACAACATTTTAAAATTGTATAGAACATATAAAACAAAAGCATGTAGCGTAGAAAATCATGACTATTGCATAAAACATATATGACATTCATTCATATGTTGTCATAAGGATGTTCATAAAAATCATTAATCTTATCATATCAATGTCATTTATAATTGTATAAGCATAAATTATTCTCATGTCATGTCCTCTCATTGAGTCACTACCAAGCCCGAAGGCTACATTAGCTATTAATAAAGTTTATCTCCCTCAACATAGAAATTATTAATTGCCCCCTAGTACCGACGGTTTCTATGTTCCATCGTCGTCTAATCTTAATACTTCCTGGAGTTTCATCACTGTATGAATATCAGGAGTCGGGAATCCCCACATCTTCATCATCTATACTATATGTACTCATATAATTGTCTTCCTATAACATCACTTATGATATTTCTTAAAACATAATTCTTATAACAAGTATTCATCAGACATTTCATATATCTAGGCTTGAATCATAATAAATGGATACATACATACAATGATTTTATAAGCATATTCATCATATTCATATTATAGTAAAATCACATGTATCGTAGGGAGCAATCAATTTACATTCGTACAGTCATCACAGGTATATTTTTCAACAGAGAATTATAAATGCAACAGTGTCAAACATGGAATCACTTGGAAGCCTACAGAGAATTATTTTTCATAAGTTAGCACGCGATTATTTCACCTGACAAGCAAAGCAGCTCTACGATGAGCTGTCACACGCTTGTCTCGAGCTCACCACCTCGATAAGCATATTCATCACATTCATACAGTCATTGCGTGTATAAATCCACAATATGCAGAGAATTATAAATGCAACAATGTTAAACATGAAATCACTAGGAAGCCTACAGAGAATTATTTTTCTTAATTTAACACACGATTATTTCACTTGACTAGACAAAGTAGCCCTACAATGAGTTCTCACACGCTTGTCTCGAGCTTACTGCGTCGTATAAGCAACCTGAAAATCATAAGCATCGTAGGAGATCATGAAATTTTTGTTTATTTCGTGATTTAACCCAAAACTTAATTTATGAATTTTCATCTCAAATGGGCTCCTTGGGATATGCGGCCCTTCTCCGATCCTACCTATTCTTTTTCCCTCTTCATATTGTATTAATCCTCTCTTAATTTCGGTGATTTCGTGCTAATAGCTCATACGGAAGCACGAAAACCTGGTTTGTGGCTCCTGACACAATTTTGTCTCTGCAACAGTTAACGGAAACAGAAAAGTGCTCCAATTCGTAGCATATGTTAAAATGAAATTGTAAGAAAGGAATGGAATGTCTGGAATAGAGTGATAGAGGGTTCCTAACTTATAGAAATCTCTCTATAACACTCAATCGTGAGTTGTGGCTCCTAGAACGCCGCTCGCCCTCTTCTGTTTGCGTCTTGCTACAGTGCCCAAGCGTAGCCTTAGCGGTAAGGAAGAATCAGGAGAGAGCAAGTGGACGTGACACTTAAGGTAATCCCCTCACTATCTCAGCCATTCAATCGAATCCAACGGTTGAGAAACGCAAAGGGAAGGTCAATGGTTGCAGTGCATGCACAGGAGATTAGGGGTTTGATTGGGATTAATTAGTTAGTTAAACTTAACTTCAAAATTGTATCTCTCTCAATCCATTCAAAATTCATATAGTGCTGTATATCAAATTGATCGATTTAATGCTTAGAATTTTATAAAATTATTTCGATTAAATTTTAGAGGATGTGATATTTGGGATCCATTTTAGAAGAGTCAAACTTTTACATGGTATTTTAAAGTTTGGGTGTTACAACTACACACTTCCATAGTTTGTGAAAAAGTAGTTGTTCTTGAATCCATAATGCTGAGTTCTGCGAATAAATTGCCACTTTGTCCCCAATAGGATTTGACAGACATCCATGAGAACTACGTCGTACCACCCTTGATCTTGCAATCAGTTCCCAATAGAAAACTTTGTGAGGCACCTCATGTCATTGTTGACTGTGTTCTCCTTCAACCAATTTAGAGAATACGACTGGGAGTATCTCTGCCTAGTGAGACTCAACTTATCCATTATCTTTGCAGATGCCACATTTTTACTGCTACCTCCATCGATGGGTGTGGAATATATTGCGGCGAAACCACTTTTTCTCCCTTGTAGCCTCAGTTTGAAGGATTTGATGAACCACAAGCATCTCGCCCTCATCTACTGGAAGTTGATACCCTTGCTTTGCTCTTCAGCTGCATCTCGCTCACCTCCTCTACTACACTCTATTCGGTGAAGGAAACAATTATGCTGGTCAGACTAGTGGAGGCGATGTGCCCATATTTGTGGCACCTAAAGCATTCACTGGCTAAAATTGTGTCTTGGTGCCTACTCTTTTTCAGGTTTTTTCTGACTCTAAACAACTCTATCATTCTCCTGACCAATCTTCTCAATTGTCTTAGGCTTGCCCCTATTGAGGTCGCCAGTTGTGGGTTACTGTCTGGATGGTGATGGGTATCTACTCTTCTTTTGTTGTCTTTCCACTTTCAATGTCAAGGTCTGAACATCACTCAATGCCCAATAAGGTTATAGCTGAACTAAATCATTGGTGGAATACTTCAAGCCTCCAAAATACATGGTTATAATGTACTCCTCTGGCTCTGCAGCTCACATTTCAGCTGAAGTTGCATTAATTTTGTGGTGAACTCCTCCATTGATAGTTATCTATGTTGTAAGTGGTGGAGCTTCAAGAACATGCACTGACGGTACTGTAAAGGTAGGTACTGTCGTTGCATCTCCTTCATCTTCTCCTAGGCAGTGGTCTTGTTTCGTTCTCTTTCTTTTCTTTTCAAACCCTTCCACCACAATGAAGCATTCTTTGTCAGCTTGATGGCGGCAAGCTTCACTTTCCTATAAACTAGCATCTTATATTCAAAGATTCTCTAGACGGTATGTAGCCACTCCATGAAATCACTCGGTTTTATTTCTCTCAAAATTTGGTACATTTACTTTCGCTCTTAAGTTTATGTATTCTCCAACATGCGCGTCAGCTCTCGACCTCCTGTGATATTGTATCCCAAAGCGTTGTGGCATACCTTCTTCATGTGTTTATCTTTTTCCCCTCTCTGAATCTCGCTAACACTATCAGTGGTGACTTCTCCTTGGTCCTCTTCTCAATTTCGACAAGCTTTTGCTGCTGCACTTTTTCCATGGTAAGATTTTTCTTAGCTTCCAGCACTTGTTTCCTCGGTGGCATGATTTTGGTTTTGGTTTGTGGGCTGAAGGGGGTGTATGGGGGTGATGTAGGGTGGGAAAGAAAAAAATCTGGGTTAGTTAGTTGGGGAATTAGGTAACCCTAAGATAGGAATAGGATTAAGCTAGCTCTTTTATCAAATGATTACGGAGTTAACCCAAACAACTATAAGAAAGTAAATATTATTCCTGAATAACTAATAGAATGTTACAATTTACAATCAATACACTGAAATGGGAAATAACAACAGACACTACATTAACTCAACTAAGTTTGTATCCTAAATGAGTGATGGGTGGTTATGCGGGTTGGAAAAGCATTAGATGTTTCGAGGGGTTGTAGTGGCATGGGGAGAAAGGGGAGTAAGGACGGTGTAGGCCAATAGCTTTGGAAGTTTGAACGGGCGGCTATAGTAGGTGGATGTGAGGGGCGTGGTTGCGGCTAGCCGCAGGAGTTTGGTACGGGAGCTGTAGTTCAGTTGTTGGCGGTGGCAGCAAGATGGAGAGATGTAGTCGGAGCACCACTTGCCCTTGGATACAAACTTAAAAGAGAAAATTAGAGATGTTGACGGTTGTCCCGTTGAAAACATACGAAGAACTAAACGTGAACTATCAAAAAAGACAATGTATAGTAATAGAATAACTAGGAGCGGCCCAAGAGGACCGACCAACTCCACATCAATGGTGGCCGGCTCGGTCTAGGTACAAAAGTGGGATGCCACTTTCTGTTGTTGGAACTCCTGCACGGGATACACCCGGTGTCATGTAGCATATCAAATCATATCAATATCCCATGTCACTTGGTTTTGGCTTGATGATTTCAGTGTCTAGCATTTGCTATACTTCTCTCTATTGTTTATATTAACACTTCCTGTCCTCATCCATATACTATGCCCATCGAAACTTATTATCTGCAACTGTGGTTGAATTTAAAGTCTATGTTCATGTTCAATTTTTTATTTCTTTTTCATTATTACTGAGCTGTGGCGATCACAAATACTGTCACAAATCAAGATAAATTAAATTGATTTTATACAATAACTTAGCTGCGGCCACATCCTACTTCTCATTTCAGCATTTATTGAGTGTGATCCTGAACTACGCATAAATAGCTAACTTTGGAACTTTCAGGTCTCTTGCCAATGGAGTACTCAGATGGTTGAAAAGCAACTTATAAAACTAAGTAGGGTGGCTCCATCTGCATCCAATTATGGTAACTCCAAATCCCACGTTTATCTTTGCTTGATTTGCCTGAAATTTTTTACCTTAATTTGCGATTCCATGGAAAGAGAATGTGATTCCAAAAAAAAAAAAAAAAAAACATTTAGCGTCGTTCTCTCCATTCTTTACCTTCTTCCCCCCTTCTTTGTTTTATTTTTGTAAAGCCACCTTTCTCAACTCAATATGAGCACTTGTTTGGTGAAAGCCACCGGATACTCCACTGTCTTTAAATTTTTTAAAGTGGAGGAGAATTTGATTCTTCCTTTAATGCATGTAAGCCGCTATTAGAGGCTGAGACCTTATTGAAGGAAAGCTTCACATGTAATATTTCATCATTATATTGGAGTTGAGTTGTTCAATTCTTATTTGCAGCTTTTTTTAATGAGTATAAGTGCCAAAATAGTCGGAGAGTTTATAAAATACTAGAGTAATCCCCAAATTGTTTTAATATAAATCAAAATAGTCTTCACTAGAGATTATTTAAACTCATATTAAAAAAACTTATGGACTAAATTGACATTTTTGTAAACTCAAATTAAAATAGCCCCTGCAAAGAGTTGAGGGAACATTTTTAACAATTTTAATCCTTTTTTTAGTACTTATTAGACCCTTAAATTGAATGCTTAGGATGCCTCTTACGATTGTTAAACCTAGGAACTTGATTTTAAAAATCCCTACAGGTTTATTAATTAAATTTATAAATGATATATTTCACATGTCTTCAGATATAAATTGCAGCCACTTTACGACTTCAAAGAAACACGGTACTGGTAGACCCATGTTAATAAACTTCCACGCGGCTGATGGCATAAATATAAAACTATTAGTGCATTTCCTTGTGCTATTAAATTACTTTTTTTATTATGAAACGCATTTATAGTGCCGTCTCCGAAGCAGAACAACACCCATTAAAGCCTTTGTTGATGTTGATTTCTTCTGGATGAGTAATTGCAGAAAATGTACATTTTCTAGTTCAAACTAATAGCATTCCAAGCACTTGATAGCATAAATATTAAATTATTAGCACATATATTTTGTGCTGATAATTTTTTAAACATTATCATTCAACGCATAGTTAAATTACGTGTCAACCATAGCAGACTTCTAGATGCGGCCAAGACTATTTGCATTCTTCCCATGAAAAGGCTGTGTTAAATAGTGGCCTATTTTTTTCATGGTCAAGGGAAGTTATTATGTCATGTAGCATAAAGTTGTGGTTAATTTGTAGTCTGAATATTACGAGCCCACCCAAAATAAAATAAGCGGTAATAACTTTATCATAGGCTGGATTTTTTTTATGAGTAAGCATCGTCCCCAAGCCTCTAAACTTAAATTATATGTTATATACAACTGTATACAGAAGTTTTTTAACAAGCTGTTGCTATTTTCTTCTCTTTTTTGTGGCATAAAAAGCTATGTTTAGTTGTTTAAACTCAAATTAATGACTTTATATAATGATGTGTATGTTTTTTTTTTTAATGTTTTTGGCAAGATATTTTCTTTGTTTTTTGTAGATCTTTATGTCTTTTTAAATTCTCATCAAGTCTTATGTACAATTCTTTCTTGTTTCAGTTTAGAAAATTTAAACTTAAATTGAAGTAGTTATACATAGAGAGACAAATTAGGAGTAATTGGTACATACATGCATAGGGTTATTTATTTTAAATTCTTTCATTTTGGTGCTATCTGTAGCTGTGTACGATTCTTGAAATTCAAATGGAGGTTTGTAGATGATTATGTGATGTTTTTTTTTTTTTTTTTTTTTTTTTTTTTTTTTGTGGGTGGTTTTTTGGAGTTTTTTAATTATGGTGTGTTTAGAGTTATGTAAATAGAACTTTAAACTAAAGGATAACACAGTGTACATGTTTTTTTTTTATAGGAATTATGCAAGGAACAAATCTATAAGTTGATATTTTGTAATAGTTTTTGTTTTTGTTTTTTTTTTTTTTTTACTTAGTTGATTGGACAATGCTCTCAATATTTTATAGGAGCCGAGCATGAGTGAGCTTAGGCTTGGCTCATGTTTGGCTTGTTTGAAATTGTTCATGTTTGAAATCGGCTCATATTCAAAATTGACTCGTGAACAATGTGTTTGTGTTCAGCTTGATTTAAATATTCTTATTTTTGTTCTTGTTTGACTCGTGTTTGGCTCGAAATTGATTCATTAAAATTAATTGTAAAAAATAAGTGTTGTGTTCAAATCTGCACCTACTCTATTCAATAAAAGACACAAAACTACATGATCACACAAGTTGTTATGATTTAGATTTAGATTTAGATATAAATATATATATATATGTATTTGAGCTAAAGTGAGTCGAACAAGAGCGAATGTTCGTGTTCGGCTTGCTTAACGAACGAACCGAACACGAGCTAAGCACGAGTTGTTTGCCAACGAGTTTTTTTTACAGCCCTATTAACTTAATTATGTACGATCTTTTCAACGAATTTAAGATTTTTCTACTATTTTGTTCAGGTTCTTTATTAAATATAGATTTGCGTAGTCCTTTGAACTCAATTCAAAATAAGGATAGTACAAAGTAGTGTACATATATCTATTTGTAAATTTTTTTATTATGTTGTACAAGTTTTGCATAGATGTGCATATGTGTTTTCTTACATGTTCTTTTATATTTGGTATTTTCCATACTATTTTAGAGCTTTTAAACGCGAATTAACGGTTGTACATAATTATTTAGGCCTTTTTCATTTTTGTGGTGTGCATATTTATGCATTATTAGCTTCTTTAGGCTATTTTGAGGGTAGGTTTCTCATAATTCTGCTTTCCAGATAGTTATCATTCTCATTTTTCGCTGTTTTTTTCTTTTATGCTGCATGATAGTATTATTTTACACGAGCTGTAAGCCTAACAATTTATGTAATTGAAATTGCTTTTTTTTTTCATTAGGTTTATTTCAATTCCTAAAGGTTCCGAAGCTCATTACACTCATTATGCCACTTTGCCCTCAATTATCAGCTTTAGTGAAGTGAGCAAGCATAAGAAAAATCATTAAATTTTGCCATGAATTCCCCAAATTTATCACTATATTTGAGGGGAAAAGGGTTATATATACAATAGAAGGCAAAAGTGTAATTAGAAAAAAAAAAAACATACAAGTCAATTAAAAGTATAACACAACAAAAGCTTGACATGTTCTTCAAACAACAAAACTAGAAGATCTTCCCTTCCTTCACCATCATCATGTTCTTAAACTCTTCATAGTTAATCATCCCATCCCCGTCCATATCCACCTTCTTTATCATATTCCTACAAGCCTCAACCCTCTCCCCTTCCTTCATCCCCAACGACTTGAGCACCAACCTCAACTCCTCCATCGTTATCATCCCATCCCCGTTGCCATCGAACACCGCAAATGCATCTCGGAGCTCTCCCTCCTCTTCATACTCCCCGCCGCCGCCGCCGCCCCTGCCCGACAACCCCCACGACAAGCTAAGCTTCTTGAACTCATCTAAATCAATGAGGCCGTCACCGTTGGCATCCGCCTTCTCCATCATGCTCGTCACCTCACCTACGGTGGCCGTGAGGCCGAGCCGCCATAGGGACTCAGCTAGCTCTCCTTTAGAGATGAAGCCATCGCCGTCCGCATCGAAGGTGGCAAAGACAGTCCCAAGTTCTAGTTCTTCCTTCTTTTGGGTGGTTTGTGTCTTAGGGGACTTGGGGTGGGGGGAGAGGAGGAGGGAGTGGATCCATGGAAGGAGTTTGGAAGGAGGGAAGAAGAGGGGATTGAAGAAGGCGAAGAGGAAGAGGAAGAGGAATAGGAGGGCGGCAATGGCTTCCATGTAGAAAGGAGCTAGCTGGATGAAGGGGGGAGGAGGAGGGGGGCATTAATGAGGAGAATGGCGTGGGTTTAAAGCGGCGGAGAAAAGGGAAGAAGCGTGTTTGGGGAGACGTAGTGGTATATGGCGGGGCCGGTAATGGGCGATATCTTTAGTTTACGTGGAGCTGCCTCGTAGCCACTCTATTCTTAATGGATTTACGTATCTAATACCTACATTTTAATTTTTAATTTTATATATTTTTATATCTGTGCATGAAATATGTGTATTGTATTTTCTAAAGTTTAAAATGATGGTATTTTTTAGATGATATGAAAATCTTGGTTGGTATAAGTGTAATAAGTAAAATTCTCTTTTTAAATGATTTTTATAATTGAAATTTTGTTTTTTTATTTTCAAAGTTCAAGGTAGTTATATCATGAATGTGAAATGAAAGATGTGGATGACATAAATATAGAAATTATGGTTTATATGTTTGATATGTAAATACATAAGAATTTGGTGCCAAAAAAAGAAGTTAATGGTTATTTTATTTATTTTTTATATAGTTTATCTTTATGTAATACAAGATAATATATCTTTATTTTTTTGTATGAAAACAAAACAATTATATATAGTCTACCTCTGTTTTTAAAAGATCATGTTATTGAATTTATTATTTTCTTTTTTTAATTATTTTTAATATTATATATTTTTAACAATAGAAGTGTCTCATATCCATATCATATTATCTCGTATCAATGCAATTAAGGATAGAATCTGTGGTTACATGTTAGAACAGGTTTTTCAAGCATTATTTAAAAATGTTGCATCAACAGGTATAGTGAGTATTTATTTATTTATAAAAATTTAAAGATTTTTTTTTTTTTTATGGATTATACAGATGATGACCAGAATGGATAAAAGAAAAGTAATCCAATCAACAACTAATTCTTGACTATCACAATAACTTAAATTTAATTATTAATTTTTTTTTAATTGTAAGTGGATGGAAATTGTTGGATTAAAAGAAAAAGTTTACAACATAATGATCCAAATAACTGAAATTATGGCTTTTTATAATTTACATACATACTTCCCAATTCCTATGTATTTACATATCTAACCACCTAAAATTGAAGCTTAGGTGTTAAATATGCAACTACATAGAAAGTGAGTGGTTGGTATGTAAATCCTCCTAATATTTGCTTGTCTGCTTGGCAACGATGTTATAAGAGGTCCTTCTTTGAGGTAGAGTAGCTCTCCTTTATTAAGATTACAGTAGCAACCAGCACTGATAGTGAAACAATCAGCAAAGCTTGCACAATGTTAGGTCTTGTCATGTCTGGGAAAACAATGCTACCATATTTTACCACAGCACCACCACCAACAGAACCCCATAGAAGCTTCCACAAGTAATCAACATCATCCTACACCATGTTGAAAGAAAGAAAATTCAGATGAGAAAAGGAGATTTATATTTTTGGTTTAGATATTAGTTCGCTTCCATTGTTTGTTAATTAACAAAATATATGAGTGAAGAGTTTTATCCACAAAGATATACTTGGCGCAAAAACTATATATTGTCTTGCTTTAATTGGTAGTGAACATACATTAGAAGAATTGTATCATCTTTCGTGATTGGGTAGATTAACTTTCGTAGTTATCTTTATTGAAATACAGTGTGTTCGAACATTCTCCTCAATGTGTTGGAATTGAGCGCTCGCTCTGTTCATAATGAGAACTACTAGTAGAGTTGGGCTCCTACTTCGTAGTGGAACAAAAAACAACAATAACAGCAACAGGCCTTTGTCCCACTAAGTCGAATAAAAAACATCTATTCTCCAAACTAGATCATTAAATGGTCAACATTTAATGTGAACGAACCATTTAAGACAACTCAAATCTTATCTGCCACCAGAGCTACACCAACCCTTGCCATGGAACAAAAGAATGAAAAAAATTCCTTATGGCAAAAGGGTATATAAGATGGTTGGATGATCCAATTTTGAGTTCAACCAATAGAAGATTCTGAAATATCTTCTAAACTCACACACTAAGATTTGCGTGCATATTTATTTTTGTTAGAATTTATATAAAAAAAAAATTCATAAATACCATACATGTATGGTTTGAGAACTCAGCAGGCAAAATATAATTTATTTCTTGGATATTTCTCAAAGTTAATTCAAGTAGTGCATCAACCTCTCCTTCAACTCCAATGCTCTTCCTCACCGGCACGAAAAATACAGAGATGCATGCGGCGTCCGATCTACAACGTAGATCACGGTAATCTACGGTGAAGATGAAATCAAATTTAAAAAGAAAAAATAAAAAAAAAAATTAAAGTGGGGCCCACCGAAATACATCTCACAGTAGATCACCGTGACCTACGGTGTATATCGGACACCGCACATCTCTGCATTCGGTGTATGTATGCAATAATTTTTCCACCAGCACAGCTAATTCAGATGTTGGCTTATTCAAATTGGCTCACTAAGATCAACATTTTTCCAAATTAATCTCCATCCATACCCCATAGGCCCATACACCGAAAATAAACTTTTGCACCAATACAGACAAGATACTCCTCGCCAATATTTCAGCCATTTCATCAAACAGTTACCGTGCATTCTCTATCCGTACAAAATCAGCGCCTATCCTTCTCTAAGATCTTCTAAGCTGATATATCTTAAGCAATTAGAAACGAGAATCGAACGCAGGTAATATAAACTAAGGATTAGCTCAAAAAAATTATCCCTTTTATGGAACCTCGCAAATTTCCACTTAGCAAGAATCGAGAACATGTTAACCACCAATTGCTGGAGAACTTGAAAGAAAGCAACAAAACAAAATCAGAAGTTGAATGAGAGTAATTACCGGAGGAAGAAAAGCTTCATCGGACGGAACGGCACCTTCGGCTTCCTCCGGCTGCTGGTCGGAGTTGGAAGAATAGTGGGCGAGGGCGAAATTCTTCCCTCCGTTCCCTCCGACGCTCCACGAAAGGCGGCCGGCGGCGGAGATGCAGCTCCGTTTGTTACTCAAAGAGGTTGATTTCTCCTTTCCTTTCCGGCGAGGTGGAGAGAGGAGACGACAGGGAAGGGAGTTGCAGAAGCCAACAACAGCACTGGTCGCGGATGCCATTTCGCACGCTTCAGTGACCCCTGACCTTTTCGCATGCATGCCACTTGAGTCTTATCTATTTGCATATCTAACAACTAAACTTTAATTTTTAGATTTATGCACCGTACCTATGCATTATTAAAAGATATAATTTACATTTTTTTTTAAAATATGAATAGTAGTATTTTTAATGTGAAATGAAATATTTGGGTACTGTAAATGTAAAAATTAAAGTTTAGGTGTTAGATATGTAAATACATAGGAAGTGGGTGGCACGTATGTAAATACTCATAATAATAATTATTATTATTTATATCGCTCCTAACAGTGAGCCCAAGATCGTTTATAATTTGATGGGAGGAGGGAGGAGGGAGGAGGGAGGTGGAGAGGAGCTTGGAAAGACTAATAGTTTTTAATATCATTTCTCTTTTATTAATTCACATTTATCATAAAATGAGATATTTCGTGTCATAATTTTTTTTTTGCTTATTTATAAGTATGTTAATGAGTCATTTGTGCTGAGTCGAGTTTAGCTTTTTAGAGACGAGTTAGATTTTAGTCGGGCTTTTCGCAGATCATTTAACGAACGAATCAAACTAGAGTCATCACGAAGACCTCAATCAAATCAAATTTAAGGCTAAGCCGAAACCTCTCATTTATCCAAATGGAAGTGAAATATGCTTTTTCTTTTTCTTGAAAGGGAATATAGCTTTTTCATACATAAGATGAGGCATATAAGCTAAAAATTGATGCTTTGGTGTTGATCATGCTACTTACACTTAGGCAATAGTTTGAGCTCTAGCTCATGCTTGTAAGCTTAGGCTTGGGCTTGATTAACTAATTAATAGCTCGACTTTATTAATTGTCAATGACACGATTTAGGTTGGTTGGATATTGCGTAATTTTCTTGAAAAACAAAATAAAATAAAATTTTACATTTTTTTTTAACAAAAATGTTGATTGCTAGAACAATTAATTCGAATTGGGGCGAGCTCATATATCATATAGCCTTTAAACTATAGATCTCGCCCATCACGCATATCATGTAAAGGGAGCATGATTTAACTCATTTATATATATGTATGTATATGTATATATATGTATGTATGTATATATATATATACATACATACATATATATACATATACATACATATACATACA